TCATTGTTTTTGAATTAGTGCAGTTATTGAATTTTGTAAATCTCATGAATTCTGCATATCGCCATTGCTTTAGCAATAGCGATATGGGGATTCGTGAGATTCACAAAATTCAATGATCGCACTAATTCAAGGTAGTTTTACCTATATGCTCAACACCAAGTTGATCCATGGCTTTAATCATTGAAGCGGCATTATCCGTTGAAGCACCTAAAAGTTTCTCATATATTCTCCATTTGTCAAAAAGTTGGTGACAAAAATCTTCAATTTGATCCCCAGTGTGAGGGTAATCAAATTTTTGAATTGTAAGTAATGCTTGATATAAATTAAATTCAGAACTAATCCAATGAATAGTTATAGCAATATAAGGTTGGTGCATTTGAAACCAAAGGTCTGTTGTAAAACAAAAAGAATTCATTGTTGTTTGTAGTAGTTCTTTAAGCTGTTGTTCAGCAAAAAGTACTGACTGCATTAATTTTTCTTTTAATTTATCATAGCAGGGAAACTCAAACCTTGGCTCATATTCAAGAATCATATCGTGAAAGCAATTATTTGTAGTAGCATTAAATGGTTGAAGATCATTGACGATCTAGACTAAAATACTATTTGCGATTTTATCTTGCTTTGAAGTAGGTAAGAGTGTCTTTTTATTTATAAAATCATGTAATGATGGTTGGTTAGAAGCTATTTTAATTGATTGATTCTGATTATTTTCTTCAGGTGGCAAAATTCTGTGAATTTGACGAAGGTGAGCTTTTAAATTGCCTGTTCCAGTTGATAATTCGTAGTTATTACCACATTCTTTTTTCAAACCATCCTTATCTGTAACTATAAATTTGCAATATATTTTTTTTTCAATTTTATTTTGCTTAAAATAAGTCTATACCCAACTTTCTCTCGAATTCGGTCTTTTGGAATGGGTAAAAGTATTTTTTTTTTTTCGAACTCTTTTACCTAAACTATTAGTAACAGTAACTCCACTTGACGGAAGTTGATCAGGAGAACTTGAACCTGATTCAGCATCTAGGTTATATATATCTTCTGGTATATTAGATGTATTTAATTTGTTTAACTCGTTTGATTCATTTAATTCATCTTCATTAGCCCAACTTAAAGAATCACTGTTGTAAGAACTAAGCTGATAAGAATCGTGTGTTGACATTACTAGTGCGATTTATATTTAAAAGTAGGTGTATTGAAGTTTTAAGGTTTTTCTTTTATTTATATATAGTTTTTACTGTTTATATTGTATTACTTATTTTCTTTTTTTTAAAATAAATATAATTTCGTTATTCAAATTTGAACTAGAGATAAAATTTTAACAATAGAATTATGCATGTAATTGTTATTCTTTTGGAGAATTATGTGCATAATATGGGTTTTATTGTGTTTTAATCAATTTCATATATTTTGATCTATCATTGATAACTCGCGATCTAATGATTCAATCTTGATAATTTTGATAAATTCGAAGCCTTTCACTGAGAGGATTGAATGATATCAAATCATCAAGATTGAATCACTAGATCAAGAGTTATCAATAATAGATCAAAATGTATGAAATTGATTGAACCACGAATTTGGTTAACAAAACCTATAGCAGTTTGGCTATGAAGGTTATTTTTTTGAGACCTAATTAACAAGTGCACCAGGGCAACCGCCAAAAGTACGGGCACATGATAAGATGCCATATCCATATATGAAAATTTTGCAGCGATAAAGCTACATGCAAGAGCTAGATGATTCAATAATTTTCTATGATGTGGCATCTTATTATGTGCCCATAGTTCTGGTAGTCACTCTGGTGCACTCCTAATTAACCTTTGTCAAAGAATAACTATTGTACATATTGTATGCATCTGCTAAATGAATAAGAAAAGCTGGTTCATATTCTACTAACAATAGCATCGAATTTAAACAATAGCAGTGTATATATTTTTGTATATACATATCTATTTATTAGTATTTATAAGTTCATATTGTATCAACCTTAGCCTTATAGATATGTCCAAATTATATCTGAAAAAAAAGTATTTTAGTAGGTATTCTGGAATTGATTGTATTTTGATGAAAAAAACCAAATAATTTCAGAAGTATGAAAAGTAAGTAATTCGGCAATTATAAAAGACTAATTCTAGCTGCGTTATAATCATTTTATTAAGATAGATAATTTAGGCACATATGTATATTTAGCCTAAAAATTCGGTAAAAAAAATCTGTGCCGAATTTACTTTATGCCTGTAAACAGAATAATTGAATGCCATTGCAGCTGTTTTATAATTTCAGAGACATCTGGCAAAAAATTAACTGACCGAATATTTGCTGATTTGATAAGATTTGATTCGGCAGTTATTATTACCGAAATCACAAACTTATCAAATTGGCAAATAGTCAGCAGTTAATTTTTGCCAGATATCCCAAAATTTATGAAAATAGCTGTAAGTGAAAACCAGGAAGCTTGAATATAGATTTTATTTAATTAGTTATTTGGATTTCCCGCTTTTACAAGGTGTTTTCTTTAAAAATCTTTAATTTTTTTTTTTTTTTTTTTTTTTTTTTAAATTGCTTATACGCTTGTAAATTTTATTAATTAAGATCTTTAGAACTTA